TTACTCTTTTTAAAAAAATCTTTAATTATTATGGGTACATAATAGTTGTATATCTTTATAGGGTACATATGATGTTCTGATACAGGCATACAATGTGACTTAATCAGATCAGATCAGGGCAATTGTAGTATCCATCACCTCAGGCATTTATCATTTCTTTGTGTTAGGAACGTTCCAATTCCACTCTTTTAGTTATTTTAAAATATACCCTATCTCTGCGGTCACCAACCCCCAGGCTGTGGCCCCATCACCACCTGAGCTTCATACTACTCTCCCCCAACCTGTGACACCCTACCCTACCCTACCCTGGTCCATGGAAAAATTGTCTTCCATGAAACTGTTCCCTGGTGCCAAAAGGTTGGGGACTGCTGCCCTAACTCATTGTTGATTATAGTCACTTTGTTATGCTATCAAATATGGTTCATTCTCTCTAACTATATTTTTGTACCTATTAACCATCCCCACTTTATCCCCTCCTCCCTGCTATCCTTCCCAGCCTCTGGTAACCATCACTTTAAACTCTGTCTCCAGGAGATCAATTGTTGTTAATATTTAGCTCCCACATATGAGTGAGAACATGTGAGATTTGTCTTCCTGTGTTTGGTTTATTTCACTTAACATGATGTTCTCCATTTCCACCCATGTTGTTGCAGGATGTTATCCTTTTTTGTGACTGTATAATATTCCGTTGTGTATATGTACCGCAATTTCTTTATCCATTCATCTGTTGATGGACACTTAGATTGATTTCAAATCTTGGCTGTTGTGCATAGTGCTGCAGTAAATATGGAAGTGCAGATATCTTTTCAATATATTGAATTCCTTTCTTTTGGATATATACCTAGTAGTGGGATTGCTGGGTCTTATGGTTGTTCTATTTTTAGTTTTTTGAGGAACCTCCATACTGTTCTCCCTAGTGGTTATAGTGCATTTACTCTTGATGACCTGAAGGGACAAACTGAATGGGCTTTTAAATTAAGAACTTAAAAGATTCTTGGATTTGCCTACTATTCTATTCTTTGTTAGTTGTAGTAAATTCTCAACTAATTAATGGAGGTGATATGGGACAGGTAGATGTAGCTGCTGAATGTAAGTAGAACTTACCTTTTTTTTTTAAAGTGTTAGCTTTTGTTTTAGTCCTTTACTTTTTCCTTAGAGAAGCCAAAGGAGGCATTCTGTAGTTAGTTGCATGACTTTTTGGACATAGTAATCAAAGGTTGATGTGACTTTCTAGTGGTTTTCTTAGTACAGTACTTCCTTGCACTATGCCTGGTATCCTGTAGTCCAGGAGCCTTCTGTTTTACACTTTCTAGAGTATAAACTTTCAGTCTCATAACAGTGTAGACATATATCTGCCTTATAGAGTGGGATAGGGAGTATGTGCTTAACCAGGATTTTGACAAACTCTTTTTAGCTTTCACTCCCACTTGCACAGCTAGCTAGTGCCACCAATTCCTTACTGTAAACCAGGCAACTTTCTTGAGTTTCCCAAGTTAGTAACCTCTTATCCATCTACTTTCTAGCTTCTAAAATTTTTATGCTGTTGTGTTCTCTCTTAGTCTTTGTTCTTGTGGGCTTTTACCTTAAAAAAATTATTTTACTGCCATGTTAATAGAGTTTCAGGAAGGAGCATAGCTAAATAAATGTGTTCAAGTTGCCATCTTTAACTGAAATTCAGATTTTTCAATCAATACCTATTTTGGTGGGCCTGGGGAATCAAACAGCTTTTAATGTTTTATGCGTGTAGCAATAAGAGGAGTTGAAATCTTGTGGGGCTTTTTTT